GTAGTCTTCAGGGAATAATATATTCATTTTTTTCTTTTTTCCTTAAAAACAGTGGAGCGCGCAAACGCAGTCCCCCACTACCACAAAGTATGCAGTCGAGTTTCCCGCATTTGGGGAAATCGCAGGGATCAGCACACCGCAGTGCACCGGGCGAGCCGAGCCCTGGGAAAACCGCCATCCTGATCGCGGTGTCTCCCCTGCCCGGTAAGTAGAATGTATCTCTTCTTATGTCGCTGTCATTTGGGGCTTAGAAAGGGTGTGATATTTTTTATCATGATCTTTGATTAGTGTAAAAAACGTATCTGTTCGTTTTCCCATTGAAATTGCTGCGACTTTCTAGTTCCCATGTACAGTGGTTTCAGTAGCCACTGCCCTTTGATGACCAGTCTATCCCTGAAACCTTAACATGGTCTGCTGGTCCGTGTACCTTTTATTGGGTTGACTGTCCACTCCTGGGCCTGTAAATGTTTTACCAAAAATTATAAATCTCTGTTAAGATGCAAATGGTTATTGTTGGTTAATAGGACATCCTCTATACAAAAGAATTGTTTGTTAATTCAAACAATTGTCCCACGAGCGTGGTGTGTGTTATGGCTGGACTATTCAAATCTCCTGTGTTATCCTAGTAAATTTATATCGTATGTTTTTCCATGTGAAAGAGATAAATTCTTGTTACTTCTCATCTATAGGTATTGTGAAAAATATATCTGGTATGCCTATTTTAGCATAGTAATGTTCTCCCGAAATTACTATAAGGTTTAGTATTTCTGAAGCATTTTTTTTAAATTGGGAAAAAAACACACAAAAACCATCTGTATTGGGGGACAATAAGATGCAGTGACCCTGTGTACAGCGTAAGCAGTCTCCATAGTTTCTGAATGAAAATTCTTTGCTATGCCTGATTCTGAGCTGACCCTCAAAGTCCCCAAACTCTGGCCTGAGAAAATCAAGGTCACAAGGAGATCAGCACATCCAGCACTCTGGTTGAGGGTGGAGCATGAAGCTATGATCGGCCTTCCCGCCAACGGGCTTGCGCTCTCTACGATGCACTAGTGCTCCTTGGACTGTGTCTGACCTGAGGAGTGTCCTGCACTGTGGATGTGAGTGTAGAATCGGATCACTAGAACCAAGCCATGAGGAATTGAAACCCAACATAAGGAAGGCCAGGCCTGGCATGCAGACTGAAGCTCTCCTTGCCCATCTGCAGGTGGAGGTGGGGGAGTACAAGATCACAGTGGCCGGAGGCAGCCAGGACAAAGGGGTGCGATGGCAAGTCACTTGCTGACGCATGAAGCTAGAG